TACAGCCCCACGTAAGGTAAAGTTACAAAGGTAAAAGTAATTAATTTTAAACCTTACACGCCCCACGTAAGGTAAACGTTACAAAGTTCAAGTAAGAAAAATTTAAACTCAGCCCACTGAAAGTTCAAGTAAAGAATACTTAAACTTCAGCCCACTGAAAGTTCAAGTAAAGAATACTTAAACTTCAGCCCACTGAAAGTTCAAGTAAAGAATATTTAAAACTTCAGCCCACTGAAAGTTCAAGTAAAGAATATTTAAACTTTAGCCCACTGAAAGTTCAAGTAAAGAATATTTAAACTTCAGCCCACTGAAAGTTCAAGTAAAGAACATTTAAACTTCAGCCCACTGAAAGTTCAAGTAAAGAATACTTAAACTTCAGCCCACTGAAAGTTCAAGTAAAGAATATTTAAAGTTCAGCCCACTGAAAGTTCAAGTAAAGGTTAGGTTAGGTTTAAACTTTAGCCCACTGAAAGTTCAAGTAAAGAACATTTAAACTTCAGCCCACTGAGAGTTCAAGTAAAGAATATTTAAACTTCAGCCCACTGAAAGTTCAAGTAAAGAATATTTAAACTTCAGCCCACTGAAAGTTCAAGTAAAGAATATTTAAACTTCAGCCCACTGAAAGTTCAAGTAAAGAATATTTAAACTTCACCACCTTTTGGTTTTGCCTTATAGACTGTAATTCCTGAATGTCTTATTTAAAAAATATATCAGCAACATTCCTAACCTTCAGCATTCGATAGGAAATATTAGAACTGACCTGAATTTGTAGATATTAATCCCTTGGTGGTAATAAAAAGAGTAAAAGATTAAAAATAGATTAAGCACCAGGACCAGACAAGGTTTCCTTGGGATTTTAAAGGAGGTCAAAGATCGTGTATGCAAGTTTCTCTCTTTCATTAGAGCCCGGCATGGCCAGGTGCTTAGGGCGCTCGACTCACAATCTGAGGGTCGCGGGTTCGAATCCGCATCCCACCAAACATGCTCACCCTTTCAGCCGTGGGGGCGTTATAATGTGACGGTCAATCCCACTATTCGTTGGTAAAAGAGTAGCCCAAGAGTTGGCGGTGGGTGGTGATGACTAGCTGCCTTCCCTCTAGTTTTACAATGCTAAATTAGGGACGGCTAGTGCAGATAGCCCTCGTGTAGCTTTGCACGAAATTCCAAAACAAACAAACTCTTTCATTAACAGACAGCAGACAGATTTACTATTGTTGCTCCTACTTTTCTTTTAAGGGCTGTCCTGAAAATTATTGGTCAGTTAGTTAGTTCTATATGTTACTAAGAAAAGCTTTTTAAAATTATTTAATGAAGTG